CAAATCCCTACCTGGGATGCTGGGTGCATCTACCTGTCCAGCACAGCAGTGCCAGGGTTCTAGGGACAGCTCCTCCCCATAGGGAGCTTACCTTCCAGTGGACAGTTACTCAGCCGCTCTGAGCCCCTATTGCTGCATCTGTGAAATGGAGGCAGCAACAGCACCTCTCCCAAACTGGATGTGAAATGAGTTACTGTGTGTAAAATGCCTAGCAGCTCCCTGATGCAGTGGGCCGTGGTTGTTATTATGTTATTAGCCCATGGAGAGGCCAAGTGGGTGCATGGTTGCATCATGTACCCCCAAATTCATCTGCTGAAGTCTTAACCCCCAGGACCTCAGGTAAAATGAGATCGGAGGGTGGACTCTAACCCAACAGGGAGAAAAACACACAGGAAAAACCGTGTGAGGACAGAGGGAGAAGATGGTATCGACACACCCGAGAGGCCTCGGGAGAAACTAAGCCTGCCGACACCTGGGTCCTAGACTTCCAGCTTCTGGAACTGTGAGAACATAGATTTCCAAAGTTTAAGTCACCCAGTCTGAAGCATTTGTTACAGCACCCCGGGACATTAATATGATGTGCCAGGCGGTGATGACAGGACGGGAAAGGAAGAGATGGATCCCAGAGTCACAGGGGAGACCTGTGTGCCCAGCACAGAGTAGGCACCCAGCTAATGTATGCCCACCGAGTGTGGAGTCTACGTGCACAGGATCTGAAAAGGAGGAGATGGCCCGGAGGAGCCGGGACAAGCCCAATGGGACCCCAGGTAGAACATGACGCCCCGATGCTGCCCAGCACTCCAGTCACAGAGCACATTCACACCCATGCCCACCCTTCCTGCCTCCCTCTGCAAGGGGACCCTTCGCATATCCCCACTTCGCTGAAAAGTACATAGTAACCGAGAATTTGAAGAGGGTCAGGACTGCCCCAGGGAGAACCAGATCTAGAGCTGAAGGAAGCCCTTCAGGGTCACCAAGAAGGGCACATCCTGCAGGCCAGGCAACTAGAAATGTGGGTCTGGAGCTTGGAGAGAGGTGAAGGCCACTTAGAGTGACGTGCATCACTGCCATGGGGCAGGTGGAGATGGATGAGCGCCCAAGCCCGGACTTGGGTTTCTTCACTTGGATTTGGTTTCATTTTGTGTTATTTTAAAGTGACTGAATCTCAAAGCATTGGAAAGCTTGGCTTCCAGGACATCTGGCACAGCTGTTCACCAGCATTGAAGCAGGTGCTTGCTGCAGTGGTGATTTCCAGCAACTTCTCTGACTGCTAAAGAAAGGAGTGTGGAGGCTCGGTGCCTGTGGCTCAAGCGACTAAGGCGCCAGCCACATACACCTAAGGTGGCGGGTTCGAATCCCCAGCCCGGGCCTGCCAAACAACAATGATGGCTGCAACCAAAAAAATGGCC